AACAAACTAACTCACCATATCTCTCTTCTAACTGTACTCTACATTATTTCTTTTATCCTTGTTAAACAAGGTTCTTTTTGTTGAGCCAAGCTTGTGCTGCCCCCTGCAGTACCTCTGCAAATCCCCAGGTGGCCCCAAACTGCCTGCTGAAAACATGCCTTAGACCAGGGTTATCTGCACTTTTTTGGCTTGGGAGCAATGATTCGGATGACCAGACTAAAGTGGGCTACTTATATTGATATTAGTTCATATTAAAAAAATAAAATTATATATATATATATATATATATATTAATATGAACGGTCGCAAAAGGTTTGCTATACAGTTGCATGTATTCAATCAGTGCCCCAATATATAATACATAAATAAATATGTATATATATATATAAATAAATATGTATATATATATATATATAAACTGAACATTTATACGATACATGTGAAACATTGTATAGTGGTGTACTTCATTTAGCTGTATGGCACAGTATGATTAAAATCTTTCAGTATATGTAAGTATAGTATGTAGTATATATATATATATATATATATAGATCTATATATTGATATATATATACATATTTATTTATGTATTATATGTTGGGACACTGATTGAATACATGCAACTGTATAGCAAACCTTTTGCGACCGTTCATATTAAAAATATATACTGTATATATATTGTATAAATAAATTAAATATAAATAAATATATATTATATATATGCAAACCTTTTGCGACCTACTGGTAGATAATCTTAACATTGGGCACCCCTTCCTTAGACAAGTCATTGTCAACTGGTGGGTCGCAGGCCTTTGCTGAGGCAAAAAAAAATGTCTTGCCTATTCACAGTAGTTAGCATTTTTACACCTGTAGTGCGAGTTACCCGGCGATCTTTATACATATGCTAATCGAGGATGGGGAAAGAAAAATTCAAGTAACATTTATAAACAGAAGACCATTCTCCCACTTCAGTAGACAGCTCAGAGACCTAACGACATCCTGTGATTTCGTACTGAGGTTATAATTGCGACATCTCTAGTCAGTAAATCTGACTCAAGTTTGAAATTTCTCCTAGAAGTCACCGTTTGTTTGTTTTTTCGACCACTGTTAAAATATATTCTTTTACTTTGCATTTTTGAATACAGTACCAGGTGTGGTGACAGGATGTCTGGTGAAGGAGACGTTAAACGCTTGCTCGTCTCTCAGAGGTGATGGATACATCCGTCTGCGGATGAGGAAACCAGCACCACAGCAGAACAAAACTCCCATCATCAGCAGCACCCTGCAGTCAAAGGAAGGTACGTTATCAGCAACATGAACATGAAAACCTCCGAGCAGTATTGCTACACGATACAGAGCGTTAGCTAAGCCTAGGTTAGCCGTGCTGTGAGACCGACATTGAACAAGACTATAGTGTTAAGGTAGACTTTTTTTTTGACATGATGTTAATGTGTGGTAGTTAAAGTATATGAATTAAAATGATTAATTCATTAACAGAAATATTTTATATTTCTGTTAATGGAAAAGGAAAAAAATCCTGATATCTTTTATATACTTTACAGCTTTTCATTCTTCAATACCAACATAAAAACACATCATCATATATTATCATATATATTTTATTTTTCCTTAATGCGAATTTCATGTTAAAAGATGTATGTACATATATATGTATATACATATATACACATACATATACACAAATAGAAATAATAATATATATATATATATACATTTATGTATAAATATATATGTATATGTATGTGTAAACTATTATATATACATAAATATTTATATACACACATATACTGGGGATGCGCCGACGCATTGGATGTACATCGGTATCGGCCGATGTCAGTTAACGCGGCTAACCGATGATGATGAATTATTAATACATTAGCATCTAATCAGTGACAAATATTTTAGCGTTCCTTGGTGCAAAAATGATGATATTGCCAAATGCTTTTGACTCAAGGTTTAATTAGCCATGAGTACATAGACTACTGTGGGTAGTAGCCAATGCCAAAACAGCATGCTACTACATTCACCGCAAATCACTCATACTTCCTCTCTCTGGCTATGTCCACGTGGGGCATAACGGTGTCGAAAGAAAGTCGCGTCCACACACTAAATACGCAAAAACAATTTTTATTGGGCGATTTAGGGACTGAACGAGATCTCATCGAGTTTATTTTTGTTTATCAGGATAAAAACTGCTCAAATTAGTTTGTTGGTCAATATAAGTACAGAAAAAAATCTTTTCGTTGATTAGTTAGCAGGCTAAGAGGAAGTTATTTTTTTCAGAAACAAAAACTTGTCATGTCTATTTTAAACATCGCTATCTACCCAGAATTTCACCAATTAGTGAATCCCTTATATAATTTTGTACGTTTTCTGTGGCTTTCCTGATGATGTAGGCATTTGGTGAAGCGTGTAAATGACTGATTGTTAATTTTTTTGGCAAAACTGCTTTTACATACGGTCCCTTGTTTCGAAGCTCAGACAGGGAGAGAAAAGGTAAATGTCGCATCAGATTAGCTCTGTCTCCCTCTGCTGTAAATCTTCCAGTGAGAAGCTGCGTCTCGGCAGAGCGTATGCACGTCCTCACAGAGATGTGCTGACTATAAGCAAATGTCGACTGGTTAAAAAAGTTGCTTGCTTTCCCTTTTTGTGCAACTCCGTTTTGAATTTCTGTGTGCGTTGCTGAATTACAACTGTATAATTCGCTTCGTGTCACTGACACCGCAGCCATTGAGGCATTTTCTTTTCTACCAGGAAGTTCTATTTTAATGAATCACTCTCACAGGGCTTTCAAGTTGATTCAAAATACGGTGAAAAATATTATATAAATATATATATATAATATATAAATGTATTTATAAATATATATATAAATATATAATATACACATTTATAACTGGGATCAATTAAGAGCGGAAGAGAAAAGTGCTGCACTTACCAGAAGTACCATAGTCTCTGGATAGAGAGTGCTCTCACACAGCAGCGAGTACCGCAGCAGTCTTCATAGGAGCGGCAACTGCAACAAGGACAGACAGATTGGAGGTCAGCAACAGTCCAGAGAAAAGGCTATATAATATAACAACTAACAATTCCTTGCCATTAATTCGGTAATTAAACAAAAGTGCAAAACACGTATAGTACCGTGTTTGGTAGGAACAAAGCTGCAGCTTATATTCAACTTTTATTCAATTTCATTCAGTCATTTGGATGTGACGAGGAATTCGAAATTTAAAACATCTATCTACAGCAGCGGTTCAAACATACGGCCCGCGGGCCAAAACCGGCCCGCTAGAAGATTTTCTAATGATCTTGAACGTATTTGAATCAGAGTGATATCGGCTTCAGCAGAGTATGGAATAACTGGCTTTAGTGTGAGTTTAATCAAAAAATTAATGTGAATCTTATTTCATTCAAATTTGTCTTTGGACGAATATATATATATATAAAAAAAATAAAAACGCTACATGAAGCTGGAGGCAAGTAGAACCAAGAACGTTGGTGAAAGAAATTACCATCGGCTGCTTTTCCCTTCCGGCCAAAACCTTTTCAGGAGGCTTCAAAGCTACACGGCGGCGCCAAACAGCCCCTATGCTGGCTAAACACACAACCTCGCAATGGTTTTGCCAAACGTTCGAGATCAGACAGAGTGTGACTGATTGAAGATCAAAGACCCACCGACACCCTGTGAGAGTGTGTTTGTGCGCGAAAGAGAGCGTAAGATTTATGACTGTGGTACATCCACGCCTGTGATTTACATTCGGTGTCAACATTTTTTTTAACGCCTATTTTACTCCAATTATCTCATATTTCAATTTGATTTCCTGTTCCGTCCATATTGTTTCAACAGCTCTCATAATAACTCCAGTATCTGTTAGAATCCGGGGCTAATGATAACGGCCATACAAAACTACTGAGGGAACTGAAGAATGTTTTTAAAGTTTAGCTCGTTTTTCTGCAACGACAGCCTCATTATTGTGACAATAATCTATCTCATGAAATTGTTAAAAAATGTTGAACTTTATAATATTCAGAGATCTACGGTCTTAATAACACCAGCCGCGGCAGTAAAAATCCAACTGCTGAGTTTTGCATTCTTTACAAAAATCTTATTGCATCGTTAAAGGTTCAAACGATTTATGGGCCAGAGAGTAATACTCACATGAAGTAGATCGGATATCCACCCTCAAAATACCAGCAGTACTTCTTGGCTTCTACAACCTGTTGTGAAAAAAAACAAAAAAAAAACAACAACAACTGATTGAGTTCCATCGTTGAAATGAAACAAATAAAAATAAAATTAAAAAAATCAGACAACTAAAGTACTGTATATACGGGAATACTGCATTTACTGCAGTTATATATATCCAATATATAAGAGAAAGGCTTAGATTACAAAGCAGAACATATATATATATTTACTGTACATATATACAAAATAATAAAATAAAAAAGTCAGACAACTAAAGTACTGTATATATGGGAATACTGCATTTACTGCAGTTATATATATCCAATATATAAGAGAAAGGCTTAGATTACAAAGCAGAACATATATATATATTTACTGTACATATATACAAAATAAACAAATTAAAAAATAAATATACACATATACAAAAATATATACATAAATATGAATTTATATGCATCAGTTGCATGTTCTCCCTCCTGCTGTAATTATGACTGAAAAAATATATATAACACACATACACACACACATATATATATATATATATAAAATACATATAACTTTTTTCTGTTAGTATCAGTCTGAATTACTTGTTTTAAAACATTGCCAGATTATCTTTTAATGAAAAAAGTAGATATGACTGGATTCATTTTTAAATGCAGTAAATTAGTAAAACTGAAGTACCATTTTATAGATATGTGTACCAAATGACCTACGGACTGGCAAGGGTCCCCGGACCGTGGGTTGGGGAACCCTGGTCTCCATCAAGGTGGTTCATTTAAGAAGAATTATTCCCTGACTGGATCGTATGTATCACTACTATCTTTTTCCTGGATCTTGAAAGTACTACTTCTTAGGACAAATTTGTGTTAGTATCAGACATTTTGACAGGCCTGCCATTCCTCTCTCACCCAGAAGGTGTCAGACGGTGTAGATCTACTATTTGTTCAGACTGTGTCCTGTTTACATCCTAGTCAGGAAATCCCATCATCACAGGAAGTGTCTGATCACATCTTTAGAGTGCTGTGATCTGACAGGCCACCCCCCCCCCCCTCCGCCCCCCCATGTTCTCCTCACAGTAATGAATAATTAAGCAAACACAGTTGAACAAAAGAGTGTTAATGTTGGACGGAACTACTAAGACAGTAGGACTTCATTCGCACGGTTACTTTGAGGTCGTAAAACCGTTTTATCTATTCATTAGCTGAAGGTTGAAAATACACACCTTCTCAAAGCCTTATTTAACTGACGGATAGTAATTGTTAGCGGGTAGCATTTTTTAGCTGGTTAGCGTCTGGTTAGCGTCACACAGTAAAACGAGGTGCTACAGTTAGGGCTAGAGATCACCAGGTACCTCGCGATACAATACTATCGCAATATTTTGCTGTATACAGTGATTCTGTGATGAGCGATGTTGCGATAAATCATTCAGAATACATTCAGCTAGTGTACATTGATATTTGGCCCATTATATGAATATCGTATCGCAGGATGAAATGTTGCGACATATTGTCGTATTCATATTGTGGCACACCCCTAGCTACTGTACATCAATATTTGGCGCCAGTATATCAATAACATATCGCAGGATGTAAAGTTGCAACCTATCGTTGTATCGATATTGTGGCACACCCACATACTACATACATATATATGTATATATATGTGTGTATATATATGTATATATATGTATATATATATGCATATATGTATGCATATATATACGTATGCATATATATATATATATATATACATATATATACATATATACTACATACATATATACATATAGTATGTACATACATACTGTACTGTGCAGCATTACTATATGAGACAGCCTTTTCCCAGCAGCCGCAATAACAGCATACTAAATTTTTAATTAAAACCGTATCCACAGCGAACCGTGGCTGCGGCGGAGTTAATGCTACGACATCTGGTGCTCAGAAGATCTTCTTATACACAAGTACACATATTGTCTATGTGAAGTACTGTTCATTGATAGGACGAAAAAATGACTTATTATCTAGCAACCATTCTGCCTGACAGTTTTTGAACCATTCACATTAATTGGGAAATAACTATTTTATGGAAATCTGCCTCTCATACCTGAAGGCCAGATAAGAAAAAGTAAAATTTTTGTAAGAAAATATATCTATAAAATTGGTATACATCTCGGATTCATTTTAAACATTACATATTATTGGTAATGAATAATAATAACAACAACAATAATTGTCTCTCTGTATGTTTTGAATCGAGCTTTCCCTAATTTAAATGCACTGTTGTCTGTGGCCTCGAAAAAAACATTCCTACAGTGCTCTCCTCAAGCCTCCTCTAGATCTCTTCTGTCCTCAAACAGAGCTGCATTCGATTTTGTTTGTTTCAACAGTTCACGGAACAGTTTAACCCCTGGCGGGATTTGCGGGCAGTACATCATTAGGACAGAATAATAATAGAATAATAAAAAACTGTTACGTCATACAAGCGTGATTTTAACGCTGTCCGGCGAAAATAGTTGGCACCTAATCATTACCCTGTACCCAGCACTGTGCTGGTGATGGAGACCGACCAGCTCTGTTCATTGTTTGCTCTAATTGAAGCCCAGTGAGAGCTGACAGGAGGAGATCGTGTCCCTCTGTGCTCCCGCTGGAACAGAATGAGCGTTACGCAACCACAGGAAGTGTCTGCCTGCTTCTAAAAGCAGCTTCGGCAGATTCCGGAGAGAATCCTGAAAGGAGGGAACGGTCCCATGATATCCCACTGCACATTAGGCCATTAGAGAAGCGATGATTAGTGCGTGTGCGTGTGTGCGTTAGGCCTTTGAAGAGGCTGAACGCTACAGATGAGCTCCAGTTGCGTCAGTAGGGAGGCTCACAGTGAAAAGGTCAGGAAACGCTGCTCACATGACTTCCTCGATGGAGATTGAGTTGTTTGGTTTTTTTTTTACCCCCCATCTACTGTCGCCAATTTACTCTAATGGTTTTTCCAGACTGATAGACGCTAGAACTAATGGTCCTGCTTACATCACTATTATTTCTGTGGCGATTTTATTAACTTGTCCACGTGGATGTGGACAGAACCAGACACAACCAGCTCAAGAGTTCAGGAGGTGATTTTTTTTCAATGAAATGTTTCATATCGTTGTCGTTTTCGGGGTTAAGTCAGGGATGTCAAACATACGGCCCGTGGACCAAAACCGGCCCACTGGGTTGTTAAATCTGGCCCGCTTAATGAATTTTGAAAATTAAGAAAATACACAAACTTCATGTTTAGGACATTTTTTGTAAAATTATATTTCGTTTAAATATGATGGACATGGACGTATTGTTATTTATAGGTAATTATTTTATGATTTTACTTGTTTGCCCCACTTGACATCTAATTAGGTTGTATGCGGCCTGTGAACCAAAATGAGTTTGACACCCCTGGGTTAAGCGATGGAAGCTGGAGCTAGCAGTAGGGGGTACTATCACCTCTTCATATTCATATTTAATGTACATTTTTTACGAAATTCAATTTTTTATTTAACCCAATGATAAATCTACATGCACATGTTTGCCGTTTCTGAGGTGATAGTGTTCCTTTTATAGAGTTCCGTACTATAGTTGTTTTTTGTTCGATGTTTGATCCTGAAGTTTTGACCAGTATCGGACCATTGCTGACCCTAAATATCGGATCAAGCCTGTCTCTACCCTAGTCTCTACCTTCACTGTGAGCGAGAACTCTTGGTAGGCAGCTATGCTAACCACTATACCACTGATGCATAATCCTTAAAATGTTGAAAAATGCTAGTAAACCCTCAAAATTCATAACAGTTCCACACAGTTCTAGAAATAGTCCAAATTCATAACAGTTCCACACAGTTCTATCCCCTATAAAGTGCCAGGGATTTTTCAATTTGGACGGGATTCAATCGCTCTATTGTGGTTGGAGGGTATAATGTTACATATTATATAATGTTTACCCCGACCCAACTATACATCACAGATAACTTCTACTATTGATGTTGCTCGCTAATATTGCAACTGACCCAATTGGGTGTATGAACGATAGGATTTTGCTGACTTTTCTACACATTCTGATACATAAAAAATAAGTCATTGACACAGCCTGGTAAAAAAAGGGAAGAAATCAGAAATACACACTGGACATTTTCTTTCGGTAGTAAAGTGTATTTTTGTACGGTCAGGAAAACCGGATCTCACGGCATCAGTATTGATAGAATACTGGCAGCAGCAGTGCTGTGGTGTTTTAAAAATAATAGAAAATAGATGTTCAACTGTCATGAAGTAAACTTCACAGACGTTTTTTTGCCAACTGGTTTTCCTTCAGTTGACAGCATGTACAAAAAGTAAACTTCTTTTTTTTTTTTTAGCACAAATTTATCGCACAAACACAGTCGCAGCTTGTGAGCTACTAAATGTGAACCCAACTTCAGACAGATAGAATAGCATCACCAAAGGGAGCAAGGGGCAACTCAACAGTTACTTAGCAGCTTGGGGGATTGAAAACCTGAAACCTTCCGGACGCAAGTCCACTTCCTTAACCACCAAGCCAACACTGCCTGCATTTTCTATTTTGAAAAATTACCGGTTCTCTCCGCTGCATCTGTCTAGGACTCACCTTTGCTACATGTCAAGAAGCTTGCCTCGTTCACATATCTTACCTACCTACGTTACCTTGAAGGTCTGCTCCGGCCGGTAACACATAATACATTACCGCTAAGTTGAAACCGCCCGAGCTAGCAACATGAACAAAAAACGTTGTCTTTGGAAAGTTTCTTTGCACAGGGTAAAAGAACCAGCGAAGAACCTACGTCTTTAAAGAAAAAGAAAGCTGCATTTAACAGACAATTCCAGGAGTCCTACTTAAACTGTGGATTTATTGTGACAGTTTGTTCCCACGCACCAAGCCCGCGCTGTAAAATACGTAGCATAACGGCTCTATAATGAGGCAATGAAGCCACTTAGAGATCATCGTCCTGCGTTAAAAGACGAGCGCGATGTTACGACGACGCTGCTAATAAAGTTGCACTGTACTAAACTATTATGTTATATTGATTTAAACCCAAATTTCATCTGTACGTCTTTCTTGAAGAGAAACAAAAAAAAAAGGCCTGCAGCACAAAATGACAACGAATAGAACAGAATTTTACAAGTGTAGATGTAAGAACTATGTTTTCCTAGTTTTTTTGCCGAAGGTGAAGGTGTTCACATTCAGTGGCAGGGAAACCTGTCAGTCACACGGTTACCATGTGACAATGGTTCGTACGGAGCGTAGTTACGAGTGATCCGCGATGAGTATTACGAGTTGTTTTGTTGTTTCGGAGTCATAGCTCTGCTATGTCCCATGGTAGCCTGTGTACTCCTGGCTGAATAAACCTTGTGGCAAGAGTACTTGCCAGTATCATTATTTTGTGCCGAGGGATGCTATTAATATTTGCGACTGATTAGGTGCTAATATATTTATAATTGACCACAGGTGAATTATCTGTGTGTCAGTTCCCGATGGCTGATCATGAGGCGCACAACGATAACCGATAACGATGTTCATTCAATCATTCATCCATCCCTAATTTTTATAGTTTGTCCAACAAGTTTGGTTTCTACATCTGGAGATTTGTATTGAAAGAAAATGGTTGAATCTTTGCACCTTCATTTCCACAAATAAAACTACAGTAACATTCATTCTACGTGTACTGGGTCTGGGATTTGAAAACTGACATTTCATAGCGATTCTCGATTCAGATATCCAGCCCATAGTGTTTAAATATAGAGTTTTTAAAACAGATGTTTATGACTAACGCAGTCCAGTTTCCAACTTCTAGGCTTTGAAGGATGGAAAAAAAGACCTAGATCAGGGGTGTCAAACATACAGCCCAGGGGCCAAAACCGTCCCGCTAGGGGGTTTAATACGGCCCGTTTGATACATTTTGAAAGTGGAAAAAAATGCACAAACACTTGATGTTGGTGACATATGCAGGTGTGACATAAATTAAAATATATAATTTCACTTTTGATGTTTTCACACTGACAGCTGCTAGAGGGCGCCCTAGGTTTGTGTAGCAGTATCTGCTACTCTTGTACCACTGAAAATGTACATGTTCGTTTTTTTTTTTGTTTTTTTTTCCAGGTCTCCATCACTAAACAAAACCCGGAAAACTGAGCACAGACACCGGAGCTACTGCGCACGGTCCTAATATGAAGAGGCAGAGTAATCAACCAATCACGTTGGTGAGTTTTGATAAAATGTACCTTCTATTGTCTAGCTTTTTAAATCATTTCAGATGGTGGTCAATTATTTATTATTTATTAATTGATTTGACCACTTTTCTAGAATGTAATTAAAAGTACATTTATGTCCATTAAGTGTTCTGAATAAACCTGTTTTTTTTAATTATTGTTTAAAAATATATTATATATATTCATTCATTAATTGTAAAGCAACTTGCTGAAACGTATTCAATTATTTATTTAATATGATAATATTCCAAATTCCCAAAAGAAACTAAAATGTTACTATTTGAAGCAGCATGAAAAATAAATAAAACATTAAAAAAAAAAAAAAAAAAGATATTGGAGAGCGGGCTGCTACATTGACGGTACAGTTACGCTGACTGGTCGTTCTATCGCAAAGCACCGCTGGGAAAATTTGTCACGAGTTGTTGGGTAGATTTATGTTACATAATTAAATTCATGGAGCAGTGAATTACAGCGTCACCGCTGTGAGCTCGGGAGTATGTTCGTAAACATTGGCCAAGAAGGACGGCGTACTTTCCCCGAACGTTTAGCATGGTAGCGTTATTATGTTGATCACGGTTACCATTTTTGTTTTAGATCACTTGCCACAAAGATTTATACTAAAGTACTCAATCAATAAGATTGAGTATAATAAGAATATATATATATATAATAAGAAAATATAATAAATATATAATATTTATATGCATATATATATAATATATAAATATATAATAAATATATATATATAATAAGAATCAATAAGTCAGTTATTTCCTGTACCTGTAAACACAGACTTATCACTGGAATGTAAATTCGGCAAATATTGAACGACCTTTATATTGCAATGTCAATATAGAGGTCGTAAATAGGGAGAGGGGCGTGGTCTCAAATTAAAATGTTTTTTTTTCTTATTTGTTGTTTACCCAACCATTTTTTGCAGGAGTGTTTGAGGAGAGGTCCTCGGGTTACGACGTCCTCGACCTACAGCGCTTCGTGGTAATGTTGTCATCTCCCGTACATTTTTTTTTTTAGAAACTCTCGTTTCATCATTTCGACACACGCTGTTTGCGATGTCGTAACAAATTTCGCACAGCAACTAGTTGGAAGGCAGAGTGGACCAATATGGCGTCGCGTGGCGCTATATGCAGAGGACAACTTTGTTTATATTCGCCGCTTGTACGCCATACTTTGGGTTGTTTTTTTTTGTTTTTTTTTTGGGAACTTCTTGCACATCATTATGGCTGGTTTTTATGTCCTAGATTATGATGTTACTACTGCATTAGGTTAGATGAGTGACGTAAGTACTTATATGGTATGTGAGCTCCAACTTACAGTGGAAAATGATGTCGTAACGGAACGCCGACGTAAGTCGAGGACCCCCTGTATAATGAGAAAATACAGTGTACTTTCGAAGTGCAGCTTGTCCTTTTTCTTAATTTATTCATTTTTGATTACGTTACTTTACTGATGCATGAAAATACTGCAACAGAGACTAGACTAGAGAGATAATTTTAATGTAAATTTTTTTTAATAAAAATTCAAAATATATATCCATGTAGATCCCCATAATCTCTGACCCCCTACTAGTCCCCGGCCCTGTGGTTGAGAACCCATGCAATCAAAAACCTTCATTATAGGCCATTGAAATTAATGGTTCTAAAAAGCAAAATAATAATAATAATAATAATTAAATAAAATGGATGAACATGAGCCGCCGGGTAAAAAGAAGAGCCACAGCTGTGTGAGACAGTGACTTTCGTAGAGGCCCAGTAACCCAGTGAACAGTGTGGTGGACCGGCTACGAAGACAAAGGATGACGGGATCACAGGTGGGTCCGCTCGACCCCCTACCACAAACATACCCGGATAAGAAAAACCCAGGCTTTTCTTAGAACACATCACGTTTCATCAATGTCCACACCACCATCATCATCACCACCATCATCATCATCATCATCATCGTCATCATCATGACCTCTTTCACATTATATCCCATTCTCCCCTGCGCTGTGCATCACATCCAAATACAGGAGCAGCAACAACAACCGCCGATAAAAAAAACATTCGCGAAGATGTACGGACTCTACTGTGAAATAAATAAAACTCAGAAAACACTGACACACCGCCGATAAAAAAAAACCCGCACAAAAACCACTCGTTCCGGTGTCTCCTCCGTGCGGTGACGGGCACGACTCACCTCCGCGAGCAGCCAGAGCATCAGCGCTACGCCGGTCACGGGATTCCTCATGTCTCCGTCCGGGGAGGGAAGAGACGGAGCTGCGGTGCCGGAGAAGAAACGGAAGAAGGAGTTGATGGAGGAGTAAGAGGAAGATGAGGGTGAGGAGGAGGATGAGGAGGAGATGCTCCTTTATCACTTCGGCGCTTTCATCCCGGCAGACGAAACCGACGAGCCTGAGAGGAAAGCCTGCGGTTCCTGCTGCTGCTCCTCTTAGTACTGATGCTCCTCTTTAGAACTGAGCCTCCTCCCGCTGCTGCTGCTGCTCCTCCTGCTCCACACGCGTACTCCGGGTTCAGAGGACAAACACCGAGAAGCTCGGTAGACAGGAGGTGATCAGGTCGATGAGGGGAAACGTGCATTAGTGGGTGACGTTGCCTGTGGGCCCCGTCCCTTCCCAAACCCCGCCCATTGGCCTCAACACAAAAGCATTGTACGATACAGACTGTCTGGGAATGAAGTCTCGTTGTTGTATTGTTCGGTTGTAATACATGATAATATTGATGAGGGAAAAGATATTAAATATGTTCCATCTACTTTTTTTCTTCAAAATAACTTTATTTTTCTTTGTATCCACCAGTCGCTCAAGGTACATATTTTAATCCTTAAAATTTTTGGAATTATTTTGGTTTCAACCTCTGTTGACCGGCACTGGTCCATGGGTCAAAAATAATGCATACCTTACATAATTTCCGTTTGATTTATTATCTGATTCTGAATTATGTTTTATTTGGGTTGGAGGCCGGTGATTTAAATCATCAGCATACATGTAGGTACCGGAGTGTCAAGGGTCATCAGTGCAGACGAGATAAAATTTAGAAAAAAAAAATTGCATAAACTTTTCATTAGCATATAATTAAATGCTAAATTAGGATTTTGACAAAAAAAAACATCGGAAAATAAAAATGAATCCCCAAAATGCCCTAATTTGATGAGAAACGTGCAGAATATGTAAAATTTCAGGGGAAAAAAAAAATTCGGAACAAAATTGACATGCTAAATTCCAAAAAAATTCTTAATTTCTACATGCAGAAATGATCAAATTTCAAAACCAGTTGCCTGTATAGCAAGGAGGTCAGTAATGCGGTTTCCTCCCACAGCCTCGGATTGTCCCGACTGGTCAATCTAATGTGACCACTGGCATGAATGTGAGCGTCTGAATTAATATTTATAAAACTTTTTTTTTTTTAACTCCTACTTCAAAACCAACCTACGCACCCACAACACGGGCTCTTCACGCTACAGAAGTGTGAGAGCACAGAACAAAGAGACTGACTAACAGCTTTTATCTACAGGCAATCAATCAGACTCCTGAATACCTCTCATCCTCCAAACCACCCCTCCACCCCACTTCACCACTGTCCCGTATCTGCTGCAACGTTACGTCAACAACCTCTGTTGAACACTTCAGTGCTTTTTATGATGCAATTCTACGATGGAGTATAAGGGCCACACTAAGAACAAAAAAAGTTGAATTTTTTGGGGGAAAAAACGTTGTAACGTTACGAGAAAAAAGTCGTAATATTGGTCGTCGCATGTGTCGCGTCAGGTCAGAAGCAGATAGATGGCGTTTTCGCGTGAACTAACACAAATGATGATGTAAAAGTCGTGCATAAAGGCTAAAACACAAATGACATGTAAAAGTCGTGCATAAAGGCTAAAATGCTAAAATGCTTTTAGCCTTCTCTACGCCATCTATAGGTAAAGAGTGGGCATTGCAGGGTTTTCCCGTAGAAGTATAATCACAATACAAACCAATTACAGTGGAACCTCGAGATACGAACATAATCCGTTTCCGGGATTCCGCGCTTGTAACTCGAATTATTTTTTCCCCACAAGAAAAAACGTATTAGTGCTAATAACAAAATGAAAAACACGCGTACGGAAGTCGCTGAACAGGTGAAGTGAACGAGTGCTTCGCTTACGGAAGTTGCTGAACAGGTGAAGTGAACGAGTGCTTGGCCACCTAGCATCGGTGTCTGTAAGCGTGCTCGTATCGCAAACCTTTTCTTGTTTGCTGCACTCGCTTGTTATTGGCTCTGAGACGATGTTAGACGAGTGAATGTATTATTAAAAAATGTGTTTGCTGCACTCGCCTGTTATTGGCTCTGAGACGATGTCAGACGAGTGAATGTATTATTAAAAAATGTTCTGCGGAGTAAAACTGACTCGCACTCACACATGCACGCTCAAAGTCAAGTCTTTGATTTGTACCACTTTCATCGGCGCCCCGCAGACAAATGAGGCCTGATGTAGTAATTAGAGGGAATCAGAGGATGTACAGTGAGAACACGGGGCCCCGTGAAGCGGAAAGATCTACAGCGCAAGGTACAGGGAGATTACTCAGCAGTTTCTCTGTACGCCCCACGGGGCTACATTAGCATTGGTAAAGATTACCGGTGAAGTCCAGCTTTATGAAGAGGCAGGGAATGGAGACAAGAGTTGTGAAGAAATACTGAATAATCAAAGTGGACGGCATCCTTCCTGTAATATTAAGGCACTTTTTGCTCCTTAGCTGTGGGTAATGAATTCGTGTCGATAAAAATGATGCAACCCTTGCAGTTTTACTGCATGAACGCTAACTAGCTTTACTTTTAATGTCAGTCAGAACTGCTGTGAAGTGAAATACATTTTGTTTTTAGTTGTATAAAGATACAATATATTGAGCCTCTATATACAAAATACCAGAGGTGTGGACTCGAGTCTCATGACTCGGACTCGAGTCAGACTCGAGTCATCAATTTGATGACTTTAGACTCGACTTGACCAAATGTAAAGAGACTTGGAACTCGACTTGGACTTCAACATCAATTGACTCGTGACTTCACTTAGACTCGAGCCCTTTGACTCGACAAGACTTGATACTTTCTCCAAAACCCAAAGATTATAAAGTCGAAACAGAAACGGCAGGACTTGGGACTTGACTTGACACTTTTCAGTCTTGACTTGGATTCGACTCGGACTTTGCCTATTTTGACTTGAGAGTTGATTCGGACTTGAGTGCAAAGACTTGAGACTTGCTTGAGACTTGCAAAGCAATGACTTGGTCCCACTTCTGCTAAATACTGTATACAAAATCTGAATTAAAATTATAATTAAAAATAGAATGCACAGTAAAATAAGAAAATGAAGTGGGTATAGTGACAGCCAAGTCATCCGAAGATAATCCAGTAATACCGCAACTTCTAAAAACCAGTCCAAAAAGAGTAACATCGAGGGCAACTGGACGGAGTAGGTTTTTTTGAAGACGTTTCACCGCTCATCCAAGATGCTTCTTCAGAACTGAAGAAGCAAAAAAGTAAAGCTAATCATTATGACAACTTTATCATTACCGTAATGCATCCAGAATCATCTGAATGCATGTTATGTTATTTTAACAGATTAAGGACATAATAAGGACATAATCTTGCATTTTAAGGCATTTTGGGGACTTTTTATTTCTATGGATGTTTTCACGATGGTAAGGGTATAGTAAGGCATGTTTTGGGTGATTTTTGAAATATTCATATAAAATACTTTTTGGACTTTTAAACACAAAATATTCACTTGGCAGCATGTTTTAGGACATAATCTTGCATTTTAGTGCATTTCGGGGACTTTTTATTTTTTTGGATTTTTTCACGATGGTAAGGCTATAGTAAGGCATGTTTTGGGTGATTTTTGAAATATTCATATAAAATACTTTTTGGACTTTTAAACACAAAATATTCACTTGGCAGCATGTTTTAGGACATAATCTTGCATTTTAAGGCATTTCGGGGACTTTTTATTTTTATGGATATTTTCACGATGGTAAGGCTATAGTAAGGCATGTTTTGGGTCATTTTTCAAATATTCATATAAAATACTTTTTGGACTTTTAAACACAAAATAATCACTTGGCAGCATGTTTTAGGACATAATCTTGCATTTTAGTGCATTTCGGGGACTTTTTATTTTTATGGATATTTTCACGATGGTAAGGCTATAGTAAGGCATGTTTTGGGTGATTTTTGAAATATTCATATAAAATACTTTTTGGACTTTTAAACACAAAATAATCACTTGGCAGCATGTTTTAGGACCTAATCTTGCATTTTAGTGCATTTCGGGGACTTTTTATTTTTATGGATATTTTCACGATGGTAAGGCTATAGTAAGGCATGTTTTGGGTGATTTTTGAAATATTCATATAAAATACTTTTTGGACTTTTAAACACAAAATATTCACTTGGCAGCATGTTTTAGGACATAATCTTGCATTTTAGTGCATTTCGGGGACTTTTTATTTTTATGGATATTTTCACGATGGTAAGGCTATAGTAAGGCATGTTTTGGGTGATTTTTGAAATATTCATATAAAATACTTTTTGGACTTTTAAACACAAAATATTCACTTGGCAGCATGTTTTAGGACATAATCTTGCATTTTAGTGCATTTCGGGGACTTTTTATTTTTATGGATATTTTCACGATGGTAAGGCTATAGTAAGGCATGTTTTGGGTGATTTTTGAAATATTCATATAAAATACTTTTTGGACTTTTAAACACAAAATATTCACTTGGCAGCATGTTTTAGGACATAATCTTGCATTTTAGTGCATTTCGGGGACTTTTTATTTTTATGGATTTTTTCACGATGGTAAGGCTATAGTAAGGCATGTTTTGGGTGATTTTTGAAATATTCATATAAAATACTTTTTGGACTTTTAAACACAAAATATTCACTTGGCAGCATGTTTTAGGACATAATCTTGCATTTTAGTGCATTTCGGGGACTTTTTATTTTTATGGATATTTTCACGATGGTAAGGCTATAGTAAGGCATGTTTTGGGTGATTTTTGAAATATTCATATAAAATACTTTTTGGACTTTTAAACACAAAATATTCACTTGGCAGCATGTTTTAGGACATAATCTTGCATTTTAGTGCATTTCGGGGACTTTTTATTTTTTTGGATTTTTTCACGATGGTAAGGCTATAGTAAGGCATGTTTTGGGTGATTTTTGAAATATTCATATAAAATATTTTTGGACTTTAAAACACAAAATATTCACTTGGCAGCATGTTTTAGGACATAATCTTGCATTTTAGTGCATTTCGGGGACTTTTTATTTTTTTGGATTTTTTCACGATGGTAAGGCTATAGTAAGGCATGTTTTGGGTGATTTTTGAAATATTCATATAAAATATTTTTGGACTTTAAAACACAAAATATTCACTTGGCAGCATGTTTTAGGACATAATCTTGCATTTTAGTGCATTTCGGGGACTTTTTATTTTTATGGATATTTTCACGATGGTAAGGCTATAGTAAGGCATGTTTTGGGTGATTTTTGAAATATTCATATAAAATACTTTTTGGACTTTTAAACACAAAATATTCACTTGGCAGCATGTTTTAGGACATAAAGACACAGCTTTTGATTGTGTTATTGCAGCTTGTTCTTGTCATTTCATTCATTGTGCCTCCTATGCTTATCAGTCATTAACAGATGCATTGGAGGAGACGACTTGAAGGCACAGCCGCCTGGAC